AGAATAAAAGGGTTTTAATGGACGTATTAACGTGTACCCATGAAACGGCAAAATTTTGAAAAAAATATCGGGTCCCATAGGAATCAGAGTATATTTGGAAACTGTAAAAGTAACAGTCTCCTACAGGCTTCAACCATCTATAAAGCACTAAAAATGTAAAATCGAATGATTCATTATTTGCTGAGTAAAGCGATTTATTTTTAAAAGCATCTCTAGAAACAAGAACAAAAGAGCAATTCAGTAAAACAATGCGTATGTAATTCGTGTTCAATATCAATGTTTGGGGCTTGTTTAAACAATTTAAATTTTCAACATAAAATCGTTTCATAGGTTTCGCCAGCATAATAATATTAAAATATAAAAACGGATTAATCCATCGTATCGGAAAAGATTAAGCTGTTGTCATCAAACAAACATGAAAATAATGAAACAACAGAAATGATGACACGATTCAGAGTAATTAGAGAGCAACAAATGTTATTGTTATTATCTGCATAGGTAAAATGTTTTCCAAATCTTCCACCTTACATTTTTTTTCAAAAATGAAAGGCGCTCCAAGATGGCGCACAACCAGAACCCTAACCTGGTACAACCACAATGTTCAGATTTTGCGTCATCTTTGTGCACATACTTCTGGAGGTCCAAATGAAATATTAACGACTGGGAACTAATTATACCAAGACAAAATTTGCTAACTGCTCCGGTGTTGGCAGATACTTTGTCACATTTATTGTATCAATGTATTTTACTTGCACAATATACGATTCTATAACATACATGAACATACCAACATGTGAATCTGATGAACGTGATGGAATGGAGGCACTGGTTTCTGAATCGTGAATAATCTCAAAATCACAATTAAAATGAAATTTTTTAACAGTAGATCCCATGTTCAGATCATTCCACGGCTATTCTGCAATGAAGTTTCGCTTCTGTAAGTTTTTGAAATAAATTTTATAAAGTATTCTGTGGATGTCTCTTATATAATTAAATAAGGAAAGTTTATTTACGTCTGTGAGGGCCAAAACAATGTTATGTTATTGATGAATTCCGTTTTAAAAATGGACAACCTCTATATATTTGATCCAAAACGTTCTTGATTCAATTCTGCTGATATATATTATTTTGTGTGCATTTGTTGGTAGGCCCCTAAATCGCTTGGTTTTTTTGTTGAATTCAATAAAATGAAGTCGAGGAGTGCGTGACAGTAAAGTGAATCAACTTTCACTCAAATTACTTGCGTAATAGTTAGGCCATAACATTTCTTCAAGGGGTAGGTAGTTGTCGCTCTATCATCTAAAAACATTTTGAATTTTCAAGTAATAGCGTAGGTCCCTAACAATTCTAATTTTTTATCTGGCACACTCAAACTAAATCCCAAGACTTGAACATGACCTATTGTGTGCTACAATATTCCAAAAAAAAATTCGTGAATGATGAGTGGAAACATTCTCATAATATAAAATCTAATTTTAAAGGATCCTGATAACAATCTTCTTAAGAATATCACACGTCAAAAATCAGCATAAAGGAAAACTCTTTCAATTATTTTTACCAACTTCCAGTGACGATTTTAATTCTTTCCCTACGTTTTGTTTATCATCGTTGTACACGAAATGCACACATCGTGAATAGTTTTGCTAAATTGTTGTTGATGTTTACAAAAACGCATTTCTTCGAAACTGATGAAATGATTTTCAAATTTTCAGTAGTTAAAGATGGTTGAGGGCACTAGAAGACTATTGCATTATTTGGCGCCACGAAGCTTGATATTCTGCCCTGAATATTTTGCCATTTATATGAATATTGCACCTAAACTTGACAGTGACGTGCCGTGACATTAGACTCACTAAACAGACTTCTTTTCGATACCGACATGAAATTGTTTATAGGCCTGATATTTGGATTCCCAACTTTTTATCAATCGAGATTTGATACTTTGTTAAAATAGATATCGTATCATGACTAAATTTGTTTTGTTTCGCTGAAAATATATGAAAGAAAACTTAGATACTTTTAAGGGCATGTTCGAGCATATTTTTATAGAGTTGGGGAAATTATTATGAGTGTCTTTTCTACGCTAATTATTCTGTAACATGGGTCACCAAACTTTTTTCATGAAGGGTAATGGGTTATAATGTAATAGGTTATAATAAAAAGAAACAAGAAGTCCGTTTGGTGGCGGAAAGACATAACCGCAAACGGTCATGTAAATGTGTGATGACAAGGCGTGAATTTAATTCAGTCTTCATTACAGGTCCTGTTCGGTTCCTCGATGCTCTTTTAAATTTACTCAATCATGCATTTGGCAGTTCCTCAATTAATAAACTTCTCCCTCAGAGAAGAAGTTTCCTACATGACCAGACCATATAGCTGCGACAGCACGAATATGGCTTACCTTACACCATAGTGTGCAGTTGCACGCAACGTGCAGCACGATGGAAAATAGTTACGAACGACGCCACTTTCCATTAGATGATTCGATCTTGCCGAATTGAACACGGAATGGATCTGTGGATCGTTTTGTTAATATGTTGTTTCTGGTGGTAATTTTTGGAATTTTTTCCTTGTTGTCGTGACAAATCGTTTTTCTTTATAACTACTGGATCAATCGCTAAAAATTTTCAGTGGTTAAAATTGCTGACGCTAGGTGGCTATTACATTTGTTTATTCTGAAATTTCCGATCTGATATTTTGTTCAAAATTAGGCTGTTTTATTTCTATTAATGGGAACACGGTTTTTATTCCGCCAAGCCTTTTGATTTTGCAAAGCCGATTCTGGATCAACAGACGTATCTTGGTTACAGCCAGGGATGGACTAACCATTTAAGCAAAATAACCACGTGCTTAGGGCACCACAGAAATCATAGGCGAATTTTCAATGACTTCTCGATAAAAATTACTGTGTCAGATATTTTCCTTGCTTTTGCTGTATTGATTTGATCTTCACTTGAATCGAATCCAACTGGTTTATCAAAATAGGGTAAATAGTCTATCAAAGATTTTCCATTTCCACAACCGGTATTCATGACGTAATTGAACTTTTTCGTCTTTTCATTTCCTTCAATTTTTCTGTAACGACTCAGAACATGTTTTGTTATATGTGGTGGAAAATTCAGAATTGCAAGATATGCATTTGCTGTCTCGTCACTCAACTAATCCTCCATCCCTGCTGCTACAATGTAAAATCAAAACGAAATGTCACGAAATATTTATACTTAGCCCACGGTATAAAGGAAACAGGTCAGCACGTCATAGTCAAGTTTGACACGATTGTGATGACGAGTAAAATATTGATCCAAGAATATGTGCTATAGCCTACTGGATCTCTATAACTTGTTTGTGACAATGCACATTGACCACTACAGTAATGTTGGCCTTACGTGACGATAATTGTAAGTACCTATCGTTCTCGGGTCTGGTGGATCTGTGTCAAAATAGCATGCATAGGCTACATAGAACTTTCATACATTGAATTATTCCTGACAAAATGAACAGAAAGGGTTCATGCGGAAAAGTACCGTATTTCCCGGCTAATAAGTCTAAGACGATGTCTATTTTTAGCACTAAAAAAGAGGGTTTTTCGATATAGCCATCCAATAGACGGGTAGAAAAATTGCTTTCCTGATGGTCCACCTCCGCAGTCGCGGGAGGGCCCACAGCGCAAAGTCTGTTTAGTGAGTTTAATGTCACGGCACGTCACTGTCAAGTTTAGGTGCAATATTCCTATAAATGGAAAAAAATCAGGGCGGAATATCAAGCTTCGTGGCGCAAAATAACAGTAATAGTCTTCTAGTGCCCTCAACCATCTTTAACTACTGAACATTTGAAAATGATTATTTCATCAGTTTCGAAGAAATGCGTTTTTGTAAACATCAACAACAATTCATAAAAACTAATCACGATGTGTGCATTTCGTGTACAATAAAGATTCGTTGTACGATGATAAACAAAACGTAGGGAAAGAATCAAAATCTTCACTGGAAGTTGGTAAAAATAATTGAAAAAGTTTTCCTTTATGCTGATTTTTGACGTGTGATATTCTTAAGAAGATTGTTATCAGGATCCTTTGAAATTAGATTTTATATTATTAGAATGTTTTCTCTCATCATTCACAAATTTTTTTTGTAATATTGTAGCATACAATAGGTCATGTTCGAGTCCTTGGGATTTAGTTTGAGTGTGCCAGATAAAAAATTAGAATTGTTAGGGACCTACGCTATTACTTGAAAATTCAAAATGTTTAGATGATAGAGTTGTAAGCGACAATTACCTACCCCTTGAAGAAATGTTATGGCCTAACTATTCCGCAAGTAATTTGAGTGAAAGTTGATTCACTTTACTGTCACGCACTCCTCGACTTCATTTTATTCAATTCAACGAAAAACCAAGCGGTTCAGGGGCCTACCAACAAATGCACACAAAATAATATATATCAGCAGAATCAAAGCAAGAACGTTTTGTATCAAATATATAGAGGTTGTCCATTTTTAAAACGGAATTCATCAATAACATAACATTGTTTTGGCACTCACAGACGTATTAAATTAAGTATAAATACTTACTTACAATTACTGATTAAAATACAACAAACCTGGTCAAGATATATTGAGAACTGACTTCTTAAAAAGGTTTATTATTGTGCATCTTGGCTTTGAAAGTAGCAAAGAATTGTTTTTAATTTTGGTCGGCACGCGGAGGAATTTTGCCGATCTTCGCACGCGAGCCGAAAAGGGTTGCCCGCCCCTGCCCTAGAGCAAAACCGGCCTTAAAAAGTCAGTTTTTAATTAGCCTACCCTGAACACTTATAGCGAACTAGATAATTGGCCACTGATGATTTTCTCAATTGGTTTAGAAGAATTGCGGAGATTTAATTACGGAACTTTTACTTTATTTATTATAAATGATACCACGTAAGAAGCCATCCCTGGAGGCATTACAGTCGTGTCAACTTTCCTATATAAAGCGACATATATTTCAAATTATTATTCACTGGATTGATCGGGTAACTATATCCTTCTGTGTGTCGTCGTAATACAACAAGGAAAAAGGTTGGTGAATTTGTTATTTATTCGTTGTCTGCTGGGATAAGCTCTGCCATAACTGAGTCAGAGGCAATTCGTGTGCTTGGTTAAACTCTAGTTGACCGAGAGTTTGGGCTTTTAACTAAGCTCTATTTAGAATTGGTTTTAAGGGTTCCCGTACATTTGAACCCCGTACATTTGAACCCCCGACAATTGCACCTGCAGACTATTGCACCTATGGAAATTTTTTTTGTTTTGCGGATATTTGAACCCATACTAACCTAACCCATGGGTTTTAGCACCCGCATATAGATTGAACCCGCGGATATACACATGGGTTCAAATGTACGTGGGTTCAAATGTACGGTCACCGGTTTTAAGATAACAATCATCCTACACTCTTGGATCAATATTTCACTCTTCATCAAAATCGTGTCAATACTATGGCGTGCTGACTTTTTTCTGCCTGGTTTTTGAGACTATTAATCCTTATTGACATTTTGATTTCAAATTTTTTCAACAGAGATGGAGGATTGGTTGGGCGACGAGGCAGCAAATGCATATCTTGCGATTCCGAATTTTCCACCACATATAGCAAAATATGTTCTGAGTCGTCTCAAAAAAATTGAAGGAAATGAAAAAACGAAAAAGTTCAATTTTGTCATGGATGCCGGTTGTGGTAATGGGATATCTTTGATAGACTATTTACCCTATTTTGATAAAGCGGTTGGATTTGATGCAAGTCAAGATCAAATTGATAGAGCAAAAGAAAGGATAAAATCTGACGCAGTAACTTTTCTTGTTGGACGAGAGGACGCATTGCCTGCACCAGATAACTCTGTGGATCTGTTGCTGAGCGTTGGAGCTTTACATTACATGAAACTGACATCATTTTTGGGTGAATGTGAGAGAATTTTAAAAAATACCGGAATGTGTACCATTTATTACCGTACATTTTCTAAACTGCTTGTACATTATCCGATGAAGGACAAATCACAACTTGCAGACGGATCTCAATTTCTTCTCGATTATCGAAACAAATTACACGAGTATTTCAAGGAGATCCACCACCCCACAGCGGAATCGTTTAATCGATATCAGAACATTTATGATCAAATTACAGGTTTTCGTAAAGAGAGAACTGACGATGTTACAGTTGATTACGATATGACACTGGAGGAATTGAAAAGCTTCTTCTGCTGTATTCCAACATACAGAAAATATAACAAATTATTTGATGAAAAATCAAATCCAGTAGACACGATGGGAGAAAACTTGAAGAAACTTGTAAATGCTGATGATATCAAAGATGAGGATTTGAAATTGCGTTTCACAGTGTCAATGTTTTTCATATTTTTATATAAAGAAATATAATGCAATTTCCGTAGTACTGTGATAGCAGAGGTGCACACGCATTGAATGCTGTCATGAACAAAAACATCACATCTTATTGGACACGTTTAGTGGCCATAACGATAGTTTCAAAAGGTTGTTGTTATTGGTATTTTCTTTCGTCATTATCATTAAAAAATCGCTTTTCTCTTCGAATACTGAACCAATTGCCTTTGGAATTTTCAGTGGTTCAAGATTGATTTTTTTGGCCAAGAAGGCTATTACTTTCATTTATTCCTGAATTTCTATGAATCTTATGAGATCTAATATTTCATCCAAAGTTGCGCTGTATTAATTTTTAATTATGGAACACGGTTTTTAATCAGCCAAGCGTGACGGCTGACTGGTGAAATTCTTGCGACTGAAGAAAACCCGGAACTTTTTGAGGGTACGGTACCGGTAACGTCAAAGGTAAACCCTGCTTCGCTCTAGTCCACGTGTCCATATATTTGAGCGTTGCTCTCTTGTTTTGATAGCATAGAACATTAATTATAGACCTAACCGATTGCAATATAGCTTGTTATTCCATACCTGGATTTCTGATTAACCATCATTGTTTTTTTCTAAGGGAAATTAAAAATAAGTGTCAACAACGGATTTGCTCGTTTTGATATCTCTGCCGTTTCCTAAAACAGCTAGGCAATTGTAGCTAGGTAAACGGTAAATAAAGGGTTCAAATTTGGAGAAAGCCCTATTTTTCGTCACCTCGCCATTTACACATCCGCCTGTTCGATTTTTTACTGATGCGACTTAAATTTAGGGCCTGAATGACTGAATGAAAACTAATTTTACTAAAACTGTTCGTGTTTACTGTTTGATATATTCGACTATGACGCATTGTCTATAATCAATCTCGGTATGTTCCCAAACTAAACAGTGGTTCCCAAACTTTTTGACCATCGCCCCGCTACTGTAGTTTATACAACTTCGCCAAAATTCCCAACTACAAAATTAAATAAACCCTATCTAAAAACACTAACTAGTCCTACCCAAATATATGCATTATAGCACAATTCCCAATGTAATTCAAATCAAAATGTTACAGAGCGTAAATCAAGTATGAAAATCATCTAAGTAGGCAGGTCTACGCCTTGTCCTACCAGAACGAGTAACAACCTGATTTTCATCAGACCCCCCTACAGGCAAATCTAAATTAACTTCTGGCTCAACATCAACAGGAATAACAACATCCTGCTCTTCATCATTAAAAACAGCTATATTGTCTGGGAAATCAGCTTTAATAACAGGCACACTGCACAATCTTCCCTCAAATATAAACGAAGATGATCAACACGAGCTATTCTACGATTACCAGTGTTAACATTCTTAATACGATATACAAAATGAGAAAAACAATCGAACACTTCAAAAGGGCCTATCCAACCAGTCGAAAGTTTTCTATTCTTAAGAGGATAAAAATACCACACAAGATCACCAACATTAAAAGATAAAGGCTTAACAGTTGCATTAAAATTACGTTTTTGTCGAACAGCAGATTTACCTAACTGTTCTTTGGCAAATTCAAAAGCTTCAGATGTAGCATTATCAAACCATTCAACAAATTCATCATAACACTTAGGGACATTATGATCAGGAGGTTTACCAAAAAGTAAATCAGTCGGCAATGAAATTTCACGTCCCAACATTAAACGATTCGGAGTAAAACCTGTACTTTCATGTACAGTAGATCTATAAGCCTTTAAAAGATAAGGAATGTGTTCATCCCAGTCTGTGCGACTAGAATTCACAAATGTTTAAGCATTTGCTGCAAGGTCTTATTCATTCTTTCACATAGACCATCCGACCTAGGATGATAAGAAGTCGTACGAGTTTCATCAATTTCAAATAAGGAACACATACGCTTAAACAAATGAGATTCAAAATTAACCCCTTGGTCACAATGAAAAATTCTAGGAGTACCGAATCTACTAAAAAATTCCGTTACATCGGCTGTTGTACTGGTCTTTTGATTAGGCAAAGGATAAGCCTCAACCCATTTAGTAAAATAGCCTGTGACCACTAAAAGATGTTCATTGCTCCTTTCAGTTTTAGGTAAAGGACCCACAAAATCGAGACTAATTCTGAGAAGTGGCTCAGTGCAAATCATTTTACACATTTCTGCACGTCGTTTCCCATGAGGGGTTTTGGTAGCAGTGCAAGCTTTACAATAACGACACCAAGAAGATACTTGACTGTGCATTCTAGGCCAATAAAATCGTTCCCTCAATTTTTTATAAGTTCGTTCATGACCCAAATGTCCACCAGTACGCAACTCATGGAGTTGTTGGTACATTTCGCGACGCAATACTAAAGGCAACACAATTAGAAAAATGGATTTCCCTACAGGCACGGATGGTAAAAACTCTCGATGAAGCACTCCATCGATGACTCTCAATATTTTCCACTGACTGCACAGGATTCGAACTTCTCTGGAGAAAAACAAGTAGAACAAGAGTTCTGCAGCTGGAGGTGGTTGATCCAACGTTTCCTTCATTGTCAGTACTTTAGAGATGTTATCGTCCTTCATCTGCATCTCACGCATATCGGTCGATGAATACGAAGCGAGCCATTCCATAGAATTACCACGACTCGGCTGCAAAGCAGCAACTTTGACAGTTTCCAATTCACACGGCTGATCACCATTCCCACAACTAGTGCAGGATTCACGTTTACATCGACGACGAATACGACTCAAACCATCAGCATTGCCATGTTTGGAACCAGCACGATGTTCAACTGTAAAAATCACAAGTGTCCAGAACTGATATCCAACGAGCTACAATGCCTTTCCGGATCTTTAAAATTCAGAAGCCAACGTAATGAGGCATGGTCAGTTCTCAGTTTGAAATGTCGACCCCACAGGAAGTGACGAAAATGTTTGACCCCCACTGCAACGCAAAAAGTTCTCGATAAGTTGCACAATATTCTTCTGTGCCTTGTTAAGGGTAACGCTGGCATATGCAATGACTTTTTCCCTCGCCATTCTGAATTTGACTTAAAACTGCGCCAGCTCCAAAACCAGAACAATCAGTATCTAAAATGAATTCGTCTCCATCTTCCTGTGGAAATGATAAAACAGGAGCACGACTAAAAGTTCTTTCAAGCGAAGAAAAGCGACATCACACTGCTTTGTCCAAGCAAATTCTACTTTCTTCTTTGTCAGATGAACAAGAGGATGTGCAATGGTAGAGAAATCTTCAACAAATTGTCTGTAATAATTACAAAATCCAAGAAATGACTGCAATTCTTTGACATTAGCAGGCTTGGGCCAATCACGAACAGCAGCAATTTTTCTATCGCTACAGCTTACACCATATTCAGATATTACATGTCCCAAATATTCCACTTTACGACGAAAAAGTTTACACTTCTCCGGCTTGAATTTAAGTCCAGCAGCACGAATTCTTACAAAAACTTCACGTAAGCTGCTCATGGCCAGATCAAAGTTTTCCATAGCCAAAATATCATCAAAATGCGAGACAATTTTCCATAAAATTCCAGCCAAAACTTTGTCTATTAAACGCTGGAAGCAAGATGGCGCATTGGCCAGACCGAAGGCAAGAACACGGAATTGAAAATAATTATTTCCTGGCAAGCTGAATGCTGTTTTTTCCCGATCTTCTGGATTAAGTTCTACTTGCCAGTACCCACTAGCCAAGTCCAACGATGAAAACCACTTTGCTTTACCCAATGCATCCAAAATATCATCAATTATTGGCAAAGTAGGCATCTTTGATGGTTACCAGATTAATTTTCCGAAAATCGATACAAAAACGACAACTTCCGTCTTTCTTGGGAAAGAGACCAATAGGCGAATTATAGGGACTTTCACTCGGTTCTATTACACCTTGATCAAGCATCAATCGTTAAATCTTCTGGATCGTCGACGAGCTTCTTTAAATGTTCAGGTAGTTCCCTGGTGTCCATAACATCACCATCACCACTTGTTCCAGAGAAGAGACAGTCAGGTTTTCTCTTGGCATAGTAAACCGATAAGCAATCCGCAGGTATTTCTATCAGCTTCCTTGCTAAACATTGACCACCATGAGAGGCACTAGAGAGCATCGAGGGCGTCCACCACTTCCTGGAAATAAAATAAACCACGATGGCCATACTCGCTGCTCAAAACACCACCCGCAGCCTCTGCCAAACCACTAACGTACTATTGGGTTTCTATGGCAATTCAAACGACCAAAATCAACCATCTCACCCTCTCTCTGGGGAACAGTCACCACAATTTATATACAACAGATTCTACAAACTAGGAACAGACAAGTCAGGCTTAGTCAGGAAACATTTTTACCATCAATCTCCATTTGACCTACAGACATATGCAAAACACAGTCATGCTCTTGGAAATAATTCATACCAAGCAAATCATAGGGGTACCAAGATCAGCAATAATCATTCTCTGAACAGCACACACAGAATCAATACAAACTCTGAGTTTGCCTGATGGTCAAAGTCTTACACATCTCGAAATCAGGAAAACCTGAAATGAAACGCTGCTTAATCAGATTCTCACGAGCAATAACATCCAAGAAGGATAAGCCTTCCTTGACAATGCGCGAAGGGAAGTAGCATATTCCGTTGGCGTCTCAGTGGCCATCTTCTTCCTGTTATTAAACAGAGTAGCAAAGTATGACTCCTTACCCTCTGGATAATAACGCTTTTTCAAGTGATTCACTGCAACACTCAAACTGTGTCTATCTGGAAGGGATAATTCATTCAACAAGGACAAAGCCTTCCCACACATACATGCAGCAAAATGAACACCAGCAATTTTATCAGTCCATCCATTACAGGTAGTAATGGATGAAAAATAATCATCCAAAGACATACAATCACCATTAAAAGTATCAGGCTGGATATCCACGCTCATACTATTATTCATACCAAAAGGAACTGCCTTACAATCAGTTAACGTTACCATTCACACTTGCATGCATAGGTGTAGACTGGCCAACCACACACTCATCAGCAAAATTCAATTTTTTAATAGTACAGGTACCATTCATCAAACATTCATTATCAGGGCAGACTGGTTCACGATTCCTATCAACACTCTTAGGCGCTTCAGGGGTTTTTAAAATAGATTTAGGAATAAATGATGGCACCTCACTCTCAGCCATGACCTCGTCAATGCTCTCCAGACGGCATATCACTCGTTCGAGTACTTCCTTCATGCCAAAATCTCTTTCTTCAAGTTGTATAACACTGGTCTTGACTACTTTCAGTTGAGACAAACCACCTTGCAGTTGTCTAGCCAGTTTTTTATTCTCAGCTTCCAGTGATTTATTCTTATCTTCAATTTCTTTATTCGCCATTTGTATTTCTTTATTCGTGTTTTTAATTTCTTTGTTTTCGGTTTCCATTTCGACAATTTTATCCCATATTTTGTTTCGTTCAAGGTCGCAATTCTTTCTTCGGTGTGACATCATGAACTTTTAATCAAAAAATCGTATGATTTTTCAATCCTGGCTCTTGCTCGTCAATTTGCAACGGTACGACTTAACCGGAATACCGGTAGGTGCTCGCCACTAATTTAGTCTAGTAATAATTAGTTCAGAAGATCCTGTGTGCTGCAAAGACACACAAATAGGTTCGAAGTTCACGATGCAAACGAAAGACTTTACTAAAATAGTGTAAAATCCGCGATTAAAGCAGATAGAATGGAAGAGCGACAAAATACGGTCCTTACTCAGCGACAGCAAAAGCAAAGGAGAGCGAACGCTGCGAACTGCAGCCAGTTCACATATACAGTGGTGGTTGGAGTCGAGTAACAGGATCTAACTATAGGCCGAATTATAGATCAGACTCCACACACCAATGCATATGCAATACTAGACAAGAAATATAAATAAAATAGAAAACAATAAAAAATAGGACAATCCAGTCTCGCCACACATTGCAATATATTCGAATATTGACTGCGCTATTGAACAACCCCTGCCCTCAGCATCAACTTTTCTACGTGTTTCCATTTGTCTAATTATAATTGGACACGTTTAGTGGCCATAACGATCGTTTCAAAATTTTGTTGTTATTTTCTTTCGTCATTATCATTAAAAAATCGCTTTTCTCTTCGAATACTAGACCAATTGCTTTGAAATTTTCAGTGGTTAAAGATAATTTTTTTCTCCAGAAGGCTATTACTTTTTTTTCGCTATGACGTCATCAATATTATTGTCATTGGGTGGCGCAACGTGTCCATATATTTGAGCATAGCTCTCTTGTTAAATTGTAGGATCGTTAAACGAGTAGCTGTTTAATAGAATTTTTAGAATATAATAAAAATTCAGTCTAAACGTGTCTCACGATAAATTCTGTTACGTAAAAAAATGTAATTTACTCCTCGAGCGTTGATTATAAATAAAAAAATTTCATCGTCAAAACCGCCTGTTTTTTTTTTTCCGGGCATAGACTTTCTTGTTTACTTTGTGACATTGGCCAATCAGCAAGATGCAAATCCCCCTTTCACATCCGCTCAGACACACTCACTCAGATAGATTTTCAGGCGTGGTCGTGAACATTACCTCATTTTCGCGTTTTTGAATTATATTCGTTAGTTTTTAGTTGTTTTTCGGAAATTTAAATATAAATCAAATAAGTCAATGATTACTTTGTCTTCCTATGAGTTTCAGTTTAAATACAGTAATCAAAAATTAGTGTAGAACAAGCTGTGATATACTAGGCTAAAATTCTTTATCGGTACTTTTAAAAAACAGATTGTTGAATGGTGTGTATTAGAATGATAGTTTGAAACAAATACCCCATTCTACAGGCAACAACTCGCGAAACCACTCTTAAAATAAGCACCGAAAATTTTGAAATAGTAAAGTATGAGAAGAATTTTCCGCGATCAAAGGTCGGGGAAAGGTCCACTCAGTGAATCGTCCCGGGCCAGATTATTTCACTCCGGCCGTATTTTGCCGACCACTGGGATACGCAAACTACCGTACCTTACCGCGAAGACGAGTCCAGAAATCCTTTCGCGTGTGATAATCGCCCACGTGATTCAAGCCTGCGAATGCACACAGAGTACAGAATTAAGGGCACGATGCGCCGAACGAAAACAGGTTTCGCGAAATCGCCCCCTTCGACTTTCTCGCCCTCTTCTGTATCGTTTTCGCCCACTGGGGGGCGATATCGCCCACTTTGGGAATCACTGCTCTAAAAGGTCACAATGTCCTCCTTTTTCGAGGGATTGAATATTCAAAATTCTTTTATGTCATATTCAACATTGTTTGATGGGTTAAGAAAAGTTAAAGTAAGTAATGCATTGAGATACCATATATATATATATGTCGATAAATACCTTAATAAACCAAAATGACAAACCCTGGGGTTTTGAGTTATTGCGTGCGCAACACCTCATTTCAAATCTACTAAAAAATTCAGAAATTGTAGCTCATTTTACGAACTGGTCGAATGTAGGAAATAAGTGGATATAAATCGATATAGGATCGAGACGTTTTTAGAATCACAACTAAAAACTAACGAATAGCATTCAAAATTGCCAAAGCGAGGTAATGTTTACAACCACGACTGAAAATCTGTCCGAGTGATAAAAGTGTTTGAGCGGATACAAAAGGTTTATTGTTACGTTACTTTTTGCATCTCGCTGATTGGCTAATGTTACGAAATAAACGAGGAAGTCGATGCTCGGGGAAACATACCCCGGAAAAATGTTGTTGCTTTTCGTGTGATTGTGGGCCAGATGAAAGGACGCCACGGACCGGATCTGGCCCGCGGGCCGTAGTTTGGTGACCCCTCGTATAAAGCATGGGGATATTATATGTAATTAATTACTAGTGTCAAACTTTGGATATGAAATCACTTTATTTAATCGAATAAAAATGAACTACAATAATAAAATTAAAGATTATCACAAGACTGGCACGACTAAAGAAAATAGATATTGCGAAAGACTTTTCTAGAACACAACCCCGTGCCCATAATTAAAACGAGAGAAAATGTTTCACAGCAACCTCCAGCAAAGAGGTGATTTTATGCGGCACGGGGTGTCGTAACATTTATTCCAGAAATGTTGAAATAATAAAAACAAAAAATTACTGTACATTCGGTGTGAAGCATGTGGTTGTGTTTGTTTTAGATTATTGTTTCGTCATTATCATTTTTCGTTATTTTTACGTCAATATTGTTCGATTGCATGTTGGTATTTGCGTTTTATTTCGTTTTAAACGCGATGCTTGCAGCCTAGAAGTCAAAATCGGATGTGGTACAGATATAGGAGTCGTGCGTGAACAACGGATCATGGTTTTGTCTGTTGTAATGACAGAGCTGTATGTACACTCTGCTGTAAATGTGGTTTGCAGTATTAAACGTCACTTTAAAATCAAACACAAAAAATTATTCAGAGATGATTCTGAGAAGCATGGAGATAGTTCCTCGTTACGAAAAACGAAGTAGCTTATAAGAAAGCAATTCGCAGTAAATATCAAACCATGTAAAGTAGCTAAAAGGTTGCAGTTTGTATCTCCAAGCGCGTGAAGCCGTTTACCGATAATGATTTGATTGAACAAGTATAAATCAATTGTCCCAAAGTTTTTTCCTAAGATTTGCCAAATAAAAATGTCATTTCTCAAGGATTGAAAATGTGTCTGCACGAACGGTGGAACCGTCTCATGGCTGATAAATCTTAAGCACGTGTACAGTTAAAAGTCACAAATTACAAGCCAAATATTAAATCTTTGAGAGGGGGAAAGCAAGGACAGGAATGAATATAGTCATCGTCAGGTATTATATATATTACATAATTATATATATACAGCATTTTTTCATTGGCACGCAGACGTATATTTTGACATTGAATTTTAAAAATTTGCACACTTGAAAGAAAACGTTGACGATCACTCGTCCATTCTGTACTGCCGGTGACTATCGCCAGATTGATAATTTGGGTTCACGAATTTGAGATGTTTGTGTTCGCGCGATAGCACGGTTTTCACGTTGGGGCGAGAACGTACATATGTTGGCAGTTGCTTGAGAGATTGCGGAACCGATAAAAAATAACACAGGCTGAACAATCATCTCACGATGACAAATACAACCGGTTGGCGAAAGAGTTTACCCTTAGGCTACTATTCGATATTCCTAAAAGATCAGGATTGTCTAAATTTTAATATTTTATCAGAAAGCTTTCTATCGTTTCGCATGACAAATTTAAAAAGGCATGGGTTATATTAATCATGTATAAGTGTTTCGATTTAGTTTGAGTTTTTCCTATTTAAAAAGGTTCGAAACGAGAATTGTTCAGAACCTCGCGATTTATTACTTGAAAATGTGAAATGCTTAGATGATAGAGTGAAAATCGACAACTCTTTAAGAGCTTTTTTGTTCTAACTACTCCACAAAAATTTCGATTAAAAGTTGATTTACTGAATTACCACACACTCTTCGACGCCATTTTTTAAAATTCCACTGTTACACGGAGATAAGAAATAGTTTTGTAAGTGTAATATTCCGACAACGAGAAAGCAGGGGGCGGATAACACATACACATAGAATAAAAACACACAGCAGAATCAACGCAAGAGGTTTTTTGAGCAGAATTTGTAACGCGGTGCTATCACTCAAAAATACAAACTGTCGATATACGGAGACTGATACAATAACACAACTGGGTATTTCGCGCAGGTTTATAGTAATGCTTCAGTTTCACGAGCGATGAAATTTGTGATGCTAAATTTATTTGGTACAGAAATCCGTAAGGTTAATCGTAACAAATGAGTTTCTTACGCAACGTCTTCCTAAGCTTGCTTGTTTTCTTGTTCGGCCAAACTTTTGATCCCATTGTGCGACAGGAGCCTGATGCCGTTTATGATTTCATTGTCGGTAAGTAGTGACGATACGTCACACAATACAATATTTTGTCATGTTTTGTTACCCCCATGGTATTATAGAGTTTTCACCTAGACGAGCAAAAACGGTGGATATAGAGTTCCATCGGTGGATATATCAACGAAATAGTTAAAATAATATAGATATAATATATCAATGTACATTAATTATAATGGTCGAATCTGACCTATTTTAATATTTTAGTTGGATCTGGGCCTGGAGGGGCAACAGTGGCCAGTAGATTATCAGAAATCCCAGATGTGAAGTAAGTATTTTGGTTAAATCGGCAGTTTCAAATTTTATTTGATTTTACGTTCATTGATATATATATTAATTGTAAGTTGTCGAACACACATCCCGCTGATGATTTCGGGCGATGTGGACAAATAAAAATACAATAATACTTTTCGAAATATTCACTTCAGAATTTTAATGCTGGAAGCCGGAGAAAGCGATTTGAAAGATCCACGAATACAAATTCCAACTCGAGCGAATGAACTTGACAAAACTGATATAGACTGGAAATATGAAACCGAAGCAATCTCACGACCACCATTTACTGACCGGGTGGGCTTTTAATCCTTGAAATTTGAAGCGATACACCTCTACTGTCGAGCCACTTGACTTATTTCTATTGCCTAATATTGAACACCTTATTGCAAAGTGTGATTCTGTAGAAAAAATAATAATTGGAGTATTACGATAAATAATCATATGGAATTGTTGCTAACGGTTTTATTTACAGCCATTAAACTATTACTTATCAAGTGAAATGTATCAGGATGTTCGATATAGATACAATTATTATTTCATGATTAGGTAGGTGTGTATAACTTTGATTAATAAAAGAGACCAATGCTCATACATCCGACGGCCAAAACGAAGCAGCATCAAATCTTTTACAATACCGGTAGTGTGAACACGAGATCGCTGAAATGCGATCAGGATGCAAATTTAATTTAATTTTGATGACGTCATCACACCATAAAATTCCATAAAACCGAAAGCAATTTTTGAAATAATGGCCTTCTAGTGACGAACACAATCTTCAATCACCGAAAATTTCAAAGCAGTTGTCAGGTAGTTGAAGAGAAAAGCGATTTTTTTCTAACAAAAACATAAGAAACAAAACGATCTATAGGTCCATTTTGTGTCCAACAAGAAGGGCAAGGATAAATGCATTTTTAGGGAAGTCATGTTTTCCGTGAGTCGCAAATTCTTAGTTTATTCCATTTTATCCAAAAGACTTCAAAAAGTCTCGGAAAATTTAAAAGTTTTACTAATAATCAATGGTATGTAATTATATGACACCATCGATTGGATATCTAGTGGTATTTTAGTGGATAGCTTATTACATTGCTGAAGAGAGTCTCTCATGCTTCGAAGTGAGCATATACTTGACCGTGCTATGGGTAAAGAGGAAACCATGAAGTAATTTATATCTCTTCATCGACGATTATCACCGTCTAATTTAGTGAACATGTACATAACTACTGAATTTAATGATTTTCAGATTTTTCCAATGCCAAGAGGAAAAACCCTAGGAGGTACGAGTTCAATAAACTACAACGTCTATATGAGAGGTTCACCGCATGATTTTAATTCCTGGGAAGACTCGGGAGCTGCAGGATGGGGATGGAGTAATGTTGAACCTTATTTTCGTAAAGTGGAAAACGCAACAATGGATGGAATGTCTGCTAAACTAGGAAGAAATGGAAATTTAAAATTATCCAGAAATCACAATGAACCGTCAAAAGCATGGACGTTGATTAAAAACGCAGCTTCCGAACTCGGTAAGATAATTAGCGTTGAAAGCATGATTTGAATGTGATATCATAATTGGTTGCTCAGGCCGGCATTTGAAGCCGGCTTAGCAAAATAGGTATGCCCCCAAGCATCTTATTTCAATGAGGCGTAAAATGTTTTTTTGTACAAAAAATATATTTTAAAATAATTCTTATTACGCCGAGATCTATTTTCGACCATTGACATAATTAACATATAAATTGACTGACATATGTTTCTGCATCACTGCATTATTCCTTTGAAATTTTGTTTTAAATCGTATAGATATTATGACAATTCTTTTATTTTAAAAGGTATAAAAACGAGCGATTACAATGATGATATGCTGGGACTCAGCCCAGTAACATTCACTGTACATGAAGGAATTAGACAGAATTCTGTAGCTGCTTATTTACGGCCAATACACAAAAAAAGGTAACGATAAAATTCTTTTTTTACCCACTGTTTCTACATGTAAGTCCTTATTCAGTTGTTATAATAAAAAGTTTAAAAGACTTTGACAAAAAGTCGGCAACTTTCAAGACAATACCATGTTTTATTGAATTTGTGAAAATGTTTATTTATGTGTGTTTCTACGCCAGAAATAAAATAGGTTCTATCGTGAGTGATATTAAAATGGGTTCTATAGTGAGATTATTTCGTAATAATTACAATAATTCTATTATTTACTCAAAACAATTATCTTTTTGGTTTTAATTAACACTTCCTATTAGGTAAATTTGATTCATCGTATTCTACGAGCATAATGGTTCAAAAAAATGGATCATTGATTCCGATATGCCCGGAATTGACATTGGTAATATGAGTATCAATATTTTACTCCACCCCCGTTTCAGGCGAGACAGACTACACATTGTAACAGGGGCTTTAGTTTCGGAAGTTCTAATAGACAATGATCCTCGATTCGGTCCTAAAGCATATGGAGTTGAGTATTTAAAGAACGGCAAATATCACACCGTACGAGCCCGCAAAGAAGTTATAATTTCAGCTGGAGCGATAGGAACGCCGCAAATTCTACTTTTGTCCGGAATTGGACCCAAAAAAGACTTGCAAAGTCTAGGTGTAAGTGTTGTTGTAAGGCTTACAATGTAAGCCAGGGTGGTCCAAGATTGTCAGCTCCGCGGGCCACAAAATTACTTTTGCATTGTTCGCGGGCCACAATAGTGCTACGAATTCGCTCATTCAACTTCGCTAGTTGCCTCAGCAAGCCATAACACTAGTCAATTCAGTGACATTTTTGATGGGACAATATATCAACAGATTTTTTGGTCAATTTTATGACAATACAACACGAAATGCGACCACCCTAAGTAAGCAATAGAAGCATAAAACTTTTATAGACATTGTGTCAAAAATTTGCACATTAAAATTGAAACTTAGAATTTTGAAACAATTGGTGCACAACCCCGATGAATCAATGGTCCCTGTTTATTGGTCTAACGATTCGTGAGACCCTATTGGACAACGTGGCAAACTGTCTCAAGACTAGAATATGCCATTTTTTTTATCCAAAACAATATACCTTTTTATTGTTCGGCATTATACATATCAGCAATTAATATTTTTGTTCACAGATACCAGTGATCGTTGACTTACCGGGAGTTGGGTCGAACTTGGAAGATCATTTATCGATTACTGCCCGTTTTATGACGAATCTAACCAATCCACCTCCGGTTTGTACATCAAATGTTTTAACTATATATATTAGGTTTTATCAAAGCATATGAGCTATGCCCAAATGCATGGTAAATAAAGTACCAATTAGCCTTTGGCTGCTACGCAGTGGGTTGAAAGTTGAGATGACGTCATAATACGTCCCATACGCCAGAAAAATGTTCTTGTGAATTGAAAAAGTTGCAAAGTTTTTGCTGAAACATGAGTTTTCATAAAACTCAATTCGAAAAACTATAAACAATAGTTTTCTAGTGGCTTCAACCGTCTTTACACTCTAAAAATTAAAATCCAATTAGTTGCAAGGCCAGAAGTTTTTCACTATAACAACAGTTTCAATTTGATAAATGATTGATATGTAACACTTCGTGTCCAATCAAATAATGTTGTAAAATGGCGAATGACTACTGAGCTAAGTACACTGTATTAAAGATAAAATTTATATGTATTGCTAAGAGTAATTTTTGTGATAATTTTTCATGAATATGTATAAAATAGTAGAAGCAAGAATTCCATATCAGTTCATTTCTAATTCTCAGGAAAAAAATCCGAAGGTGCAATATATAGTCAACGGAAACGGACCTATGAGTATGAGCCCATACATCGCTGTTTTTAAAAAACTACCTCTGAAAGGCACGTCGACGGGTTCAAATGGAGGGTTAGTTGTTCGTAGTTTTTGAAAACATTAAAAATATGCCTATTCGAATATGTCATTCAAATTGTCGCACCAAGTACGAAATCGATATAACTCACTATAGCGTCTCGCACTGGACGCCAAAGTGGTCTACTTTGCCTGTTCTCTTTTTCAGAGTCCAATATAGCATACATTATTTGTGTTACCATATGTCTGTATGTTAGCAGGATGAACAATTGAATTCATTATTTTGAGTATCAAGTAAGAATACACTTACAACCACAATGCAAGTATCGGAATTGAATGCCAAATTAAAACTACATCAAAACAGTATTCAGAGACCAACTCTTGGAAGCGCAGGAGATCGCGTGATCAGACTTTCGCATGATGTAGAACCCTTTTATGAAAAGCTTGTCCGGAAATGAGTCGGACATGGGACATCGACCTTGTTTCAGCATACTTAACATAATATGTTGCTAGCGTTCAGTGGTTGATGGTATTGAAATCCACAGCAATTAATCATCTTCAATTGTACTTCATGCTCTGTTTATCTGCTGCAACGGCACTACTCTGAAGTTTATTACGCACACCAGTTTTCAGCAACGGCATGGAGCAGAATTGAAAGAAATGTTATTGGACACGAAGTGGACATAACGATCGTTTCAATATTATGTTGTTGTTGTTGTTCCTTGACACGTTTTTAAAAAGTCGCTTTTCTCTTCGAATACTGGACCAATTGCTTCGAAATTTTCAGTGGTTAAAGATTAATTTTTTCGCTAGAAGGCTATTACTTTTATTTATTTCAAAATTTTGCGTGAATTCTATGAAATTTGATATTTCGTCTAAAATTTTGCTGTATTATTTTTTATCCATGGGAACACGGATTTTAGTCAGTGTCATGACTGGCTGTACGTTTTGATTCTGCAAAATTCTTGCTACTGGAAATTCAGAACTTTTTTTGAGGGTACCGGTAGCGTCAAAGGTACCGGTAAGGACTGATTCGCTCTGGTCTAACGTGTCCATATATTTGTGCGTAGCTCTCTTGTCTTTCAGTGCATTTGTAACCCATTCTGTCATTTATTTTCAGACGACGACCGTTTTCAGATATTCTCCTGTTTTTGCAAGAAAATCCGGCGGTGAGTAACTGGAATGTTTCAATTCAAAAAAAAAAAAAAAATTCAAACACATATTTTCATAAAACCACACGACTCTAGGCTTTTGTGGCAAGGTTTAAAATCAACCATATTATGTAAGCTGTTAAAAGAGATTTTGTGAGCGACATCGTAAGCCTAGAAGCCGACATGCGATCAAGACGGTATTAAAATATCTGCAATATGCCAATATATTTTCAGTTACCAACGCTTCTATATGCTGGTATGTTGTTGCATCCTAAATCAAGAGGGAATGTTAAGTTGCGATCAAAAGATATCAAGGATCATCCTGTGATCAACCCAAAATATTTAGAACATGAAGATGATTTACAAGTTCTTACGGAAGGTAGGGTGAATTGTATTAATTCAATTATTGGACACGAAATGGACCTATATAGATCGTTCTGATATTATGTTGTTGTCGTTGTTTGTTAAAACCTTTTTTCTTGTTTCTGTTGTTATGAAAAAATCACTTTTCATTAGAAGGCTATTACTTTTATTTATTTTAATAATTTCTATGGCCTCCATGGTAGTGGTTCCCAACCTTATTTTTAAGCAACTCAAATTTGGTAACGAATAAATTTCGTAAAAATTGCGCAACCCAAGGGTATGCAAAAATACTAAATGACATGTTTCGCCTTGCTTAAAAGACTACTACAGAAAAAACAATCATTCTAAATAAAAATTTACTTTCTCTTTATTTAGGTATTTCATTTTGATATTATTATTTGTTTGCCATCAGCGATTTTTTGAAATCGTGACTTCTCTTTACTTGAGCAAAATAGACGCTCCCCAAGTTTTTACGCTGGAATTCTTCCCACATATACAATGAGTTGTTAAATTTACTAGGAGAGAAAATCAAAAACTTTTACGTTATGATCGACCTCAAATAATTTTCTATTTATTGGCCCAGCTTTGGGTCACGTCCCATAGGCTGGGAAAACTTCTATATGGGATTCGTTGTTTTGTATGTGATGACGTCATCAAAATTAAAATTTGTGCACCTTGTGGCGGTTCTGCGTTTGCGATTGTCAACCGTAAAAAAATGTCTTGTTCTTTGGGGTGGATTTCATCTAATTTGACAATCTACTTGTTGAACACGAAATGGATTTACAAATCATTTTGGTAAATTGTTGTTGTCGTTTTGGATGAGGACGTTGGACTTGGAAAAATCGTTATATGCCATCCGGCAGACACACTTCATTAACAGCTGGCTAGAAGTTTGCTGAAATCGCTGCAGTCATTTGGTTTTTGTGCCATCTATACAAATATATACATTTGAGAATTGATTTCTGTCTAATCACTGATCAAATCTTCTTTATTTCCGACTGAATACTTTTAGTGTAGATAGTCATCGTAAATAAACTTGTCTCCCTGTCACCAGCCTATCGCTTGATGGAAGAATTCGAAAAGTCGGCAGCATTTCAAAAAGCCGGAGCTCAAGTAATGATCCCTGCCATTTGTAATAGAACAGAAAACAAAGATGCTCCAAGGTACGCTTCATATTTTGAAGATCCGCTCGCACATTGCCATTTATTATATTGATTTGTTGGTTAATCTAGTCCCCTCATAGCCTGTAATTCGCGAGATGTGTGGAAGTATGGATGAATTTTTCATGGTGATAATTATTTTAACCGTAGCATGTTTTTTATGTCTAAAACAGGAATGACAATTTTTATAATTGTCTGATATGGGAAACAACCATATCAGGACATCATCAATGTTGCACTGCTAAAATGGGATCCCGCTCTGATAAATATGCCGTGGTGGATCCGCAACTGAGGTAAACTTTATGACTAATTTCAGTATGATGAACGAACAGTATACACAATAAATTGATGAAACGCGTAAAAGTATCGTTCATAACATGGGACAACCCGCCAAAAATACCAGTTAGGCGTATATAAAATATCCGCAGAAGCGTGATGGGATTGGTGGATAAGTGACCATTACCACTTGAAATACTTGAATCACATGAATCCCTTTGCCTTATAAGTAAATATGTTGTTTTCAGAGTGATTGGTATTCATGATCTCCGCGTGGTTGATGCTTCAGTGTTTCCACATCAAACATCGTCAAATACTCAGGCATCAGTGTATATGGTCGCTGAAAAAGCAGCCGATTACATAAAACAGACATGGCAACATCGAACAGCTTAGCATCATAATTGCTAAATACAATTGCATCCCGACTAACTAATGTGTTTTTATTATGTTGACCTTTTTCAAAAAGGGTACTTCTTTGTTTCTTTGAATAAAATGTTCTCAATCCACACATGAGTGTATCATTCAGCTTCGTCACGTCAAGTCAGGATATGGTTTCTCCTCTTTTGAAATGTTTACTTGTCAATACTCTAATGAAGTTCTTGAAACATAGAGGTAGAATATGAATGAAATATTGTTTATACCCCGTCCAAAGGGTGTTTTTAACGATCGTCCCGACAAACCATTTTGCTGTTGCATTGAAACGTACTGTAAAATCAAATTATGTCGAAACAACTATGACAGCATTACGCCAATATACTTTTAGTTAGCAACGGTTCTATATGTTGGTATGTCGTTGCATCCTAAATCAAGAATGTCAAGTTGCGATCGGAGGATATCAAGGATCATCCTGTGTCTGAAATTTAGAGCATAAAGCTGATCTACATTTGTTTAAGGAAGATAAGGTGTTTTGTATTAATGTAATTATTGGACCCAGTGGGTAGCAAGACTCTCGTGCCCAAGCCCCCCGCGAAAATATTTCGTGGAAATGACCCTAAAAATTCTCGGACATAAGCTAAAACGCAATGGTAAAAGGCAATGATAACCTAAAATTTGCGGTTTATTTTGGTTACTTAAATTTTTTTCATACGTTCCTCCTCTTCTGCCCTTTTTCTGCGTTTCTGTGTGCCACTGAGAGGTTTTGCTTTCGACATAATTCTGACAGCCTTCGTAATTTTGCCGGTGCGATCAAACCACAAGACGCCGAAAATCGACGACTTCCTAGCATAGTTACGTAACAAAACGATTTGAGCAGAACTAACATCATAGTTATAAGATGTGCATTACTGGTTTTGCAATGCAGCTTTTGGTTTTGCGGCTTAAATTTCTAATTTCTAACCGCTTGGGCTCTTTTGCGTTGTGGCGGGGGTGGATGCTACGCCACTGATAAGAGGTAATGAATTGAGTTCTTATATGACAAGGAAGAACCGTTCCGCGAACAATGTAATATTTATCTCAGTTCAGAATATCTTCCAATATGATCTGACGTCAAGTTTCCTCTCAATATTCACTTCAATGAAACGGTTAATACAACCAAATACTCCAAAGAAACGGCACACAACAAAAACAACAATACCAGGCAGTAAAATGTAAGAAAGCAATATACACCATAAAAACACTAAACTAGCTACCGCTAGTTTACCCGAAAATATACCTGGGTCTAATTTCAATTTTCTTTCGAAAAATAACACTAGGGCTTATTTTTGGGGAATGTCCTATATTTTCATTTATTAAAAACAAAATTGCAAAGTAGAGAATTACGAGAGTTTGATATACAAAATAAGAAAACTGATATCCATTCACTTTTAAATAACACATTTGTATTCAAAATAACTGCAAAGCATAGATTATCAATCATTTAAAACGTGTAAGAGAGATTTCTTGCTATCGCCTGGGTCAAAAAAAATAAATTCGCGTTATTGACTAGGTTTTATTTTAGGGGGAGGGCTTATATTGAAATTATTTTTAAGATTCAGGCTAGGTTTTATTTTCGGGGTAGGTCTTATTTAGGGAAACACGGTACTTACAATTTGCAAAGCAGGCTGAAAATTAACTTATGAGGGGCATTTTAAAAGACGATAAACAATTCTATATGTGCACAACATTTGAACAGTAGGCCTACTGATGATAGCTAATTCCATGACAACAACCTAAAACACAACGCTAAATAAACTATGACGGCACTACACTTACACAAAAACATCAGCCCGCTGCCCAGCACAAAAACATCCACCAACCCCAATTCAACAGTCACAAAACCACAAACAAACATCCCCGATCACCCACCGGAGACCAGTGACACTCCCACAGACACAAAACACTCAAAATCCAACCAAAAACACCCACACTGTACCGGTACCAACCACAGCACACGCTAACATGCCACACCCAGAAGACAGACCGACAGTGTTATAGCGCCCCCAGTGTATTCAATGCCAAAATACCAAATATGGAAACAATATCACATGACATCATTTAACAGATAAAATAAGGGTCGTCACACTAGTCAGTCAGTTACCATAGTACTAGTAAGTCAGTTATCATATCCATGTAGCTATTTCACTGTTCAGCTTCGTGCAAGATACTGTAGGCGTAGGGTACTCTATGGTTTTCGGTGAAGTGATGATATTTAAGGTCGTTTTATTCTAAGTGTCCATATATTTAAGCATAACTTTCTTATTAATACTGTTTATATGCGGAAATCGTTTTGCTAACAGCTAATCTCACGTAGTTGTCTGGAAATCTTGTACATTTGTTTTGCTATGATGTTCTTGATTTATATTCTGCGATATGGAATTCAATATTCAAGACTTAAGAAATGCAGAATTTATATTGTTTAAAAAATTGAATGGATTTCTCAACTTTTGGGAATTTATTGTGGTGCATTGACAAAAATATTTGTCTGGCCCGTTTCAATGCAGTTTGAGTCATACCTGGCCCGCGGTGAAAAAAGTTTGGTGACCCCTGCTTCATACTATAAAAGTTCCAAATATATCTAATTAAACCAACTTTGGATGTCTATCCCGACCAATTTTCTGGCATCTGACTTCTCCCACAGGTCGCTTTCTTATTTCTGTGTTTTTAGTGTGAACATCTTTGTCATAAGCTCTAAAATTATGTCATTTGTGAGTTATGTTTCATGTTTGTTTTTATTTATTTAGTTAATATTTGGAATGATGGTCATATAACTAGTTTAAATTGTGTGTAACTGTCGGAATGAACTGATCCACTGATGTCTAATACTACTGCAATAAAGTTGAATGGTCTATTTGGTATCGGACTTTCGGAGTGTTTTTGGTGTTACTCCACTGACGCGCACATTGAATCACACAATACCACTCCATGTCCATATTGCTAGTTAGGTGATAGTACCGGTTAATATATACGATTGTCGACTCCTGGAATGGACGATTAATTGATACGCCTTATGATCTTCATTGCGATTTTCAACATTACAAACAGAATACTGTATACTCTATAGCAGTGGTTCTCAACCTTTTTTCAGTTCGCGGACCGGTAAAATTTTAAAACAAATTTCGCGGACCGGCGGATCTACAAAAATGTCATGAACACAAAATATAATCAAAAGAATGCAATTACGACAAAAGTAGACGGTACAAAAGAAGACAATTCAATTTGATGAGAAATTTACTGCTGTCTTTTAATGTTATACGTGTTAAACGCAGTTATAATAAAATTTCTGCAAGGCGAAGTAGAGCACTGACTTGTTTGACTCCAGTAAAATATACCATCAAACCTCGCTAAATTATAGGCCTACTGTCAAACCTACTATGTGCTATCAAACTCCTCCGTTATGACGTTGGCCATCTTTATGACGCCATAGACTTAACCAATTAGTATATATGCTCATTGACTTAACGAACCTCCAGCCGTTAAGGGCTTGAAATAAGCAGATTAGAATATATTTGGTGGACCGGCAGCAAGGTTGCCGTGGACCGGCAGTTGAGAACCACTGCTTTATAGGTCTGTTCTAATTAACATTACGCAGATAGCGAAAGATACAAATCATATCAACATAAGAAATAAACCGTAAAAACAATATTTCGCATTTCAGCGATTTAAATATATATCAGCTGAAAAAGTCAGCTCTTCTATAAAAGGAATTTTTGACCACCTCCCTTCGAGCGGTATGACTGAACCCTGGACTGGATATCTGCTCCATACCAATGTATATCTCCATATCAATGAATAAAACAATGTGCAAGTTTAGTGAAAAAAATTTTCAATTTTACAATTTTGTTATGGATTTTATACAGCTTATTAGTAATGTTATAGGGTATGGTCTTTGTTCACTTCCACGATATATGAAAGTGAAAAACAACGGTGGTAAAGGTGCTTGCGTCATGAGTCGAGCCTAAAAACAATTGTAATGTCTACGTCAGGGGTCGGCAACCTACAGCCCGCGGGCCGTAACAGGCCCGCTGACTAATATAATCCGGCTCGCGACGCTTCACTGAATTATAGTAACAGAACAGCTGTTTTGACGATTATGTCATTACTTAATATTGTTGGACGTAACACATAACATTATTGCGAGACGCGTGTAGACAAAATTATATTATAATCTAACAGGTAAAAAATTCACAATTACTCGTTTAATTAGCCTATATTTCACTGTATCACTGCTTGGTTTTTATTATAAAAAGTATCATCCGTTCGGTTTTTAGATTTCTGAAAATATGTGCGGCCCGCCAATGACTTGCAACCCTAAATTTTGGCCCGCGAGCGACAAAAGGTTGCCGACCCCTGCTACGTGATGAAAATCCATGAATTGTATATTTTCGGCAGCAAAGAAATTGATATCAGCTGAAGATGTTAGTTCTTCTAACAATGAATTTTTGATAATCCCGTTTTCAATGGAATGGCTGCGGTCTTTTTTACCTTTAGGGGCAGATTATTTTTAAATTATACATTTCTTATAGATTATTCTACGGAACTCAATAGTGACGTTAACGCTATTTTACTGTCTTTGTTCATCCCAACGATACACGACAACGGGTGGCAGTGAAGAAACAACGGCGGTAAAGATTCTTGCCCCATAAGTCGTGCGCGACGAAAAGATAAATGTAGATTTCGTTTTTTTTTTCAGACATCTGTTAGTGTCGAAAGTCCTGTTTCTATAAATAATATTACCTTTGTTTTAAATGCACAACCACATAAACTGAAAAAAGTGTAATTGTAATATTTCTGTTCACTATGTTATGTACATACTGTATTCATTTCATTTTCCCGACTTTTACGCTGAATTTCCAAGTATAAAATTACTGTTTAATTTGTGTTTTTGTGCTAACGATGTTAATTTGTAAATTCAATGCTCAAAAATTTTTACGTTCAATATCTTCTATAAAATAAATGCAACTTCTTAGGCTGTTCTTCGTTGTAAACTGCTTGTATCAGGAATTCTAATTTTGGTCAGACAAAACGTTACAGAAATACATTTGTGTTAGTGTGCAGCAGGGCTCTTGAAT